TGACATTTCAACCGCGGATCCAAATCCTCCAAAATCAAAATTCCATCCACCAAAAGTTGAACTTGATGCATTTGCAGAAGAACTAGAACCATTTGAATTGGGAACAAGCCCACTATTTTCAGTCTTGATCTGCTGAGTCTGATCATTCAAGTTTGTTAGAGCATCCAGACTCAGTGCTCTGTTCAATCCAGTCTGATTGGATTTGGACCTATTACTATCCACATTCCACACACTTGAACTGGTGGCAGCTGAAGAAGAACTTACACCAGTTAAATTAAGACCAATTCCCACATTCTGACCCTGATCATTCAAGTTTGATATAACATCCAGGCTCAAAGTTCTACTCAATCCATTCTGATTGGATTTGGACATATGGAAATCCGGATTCCACACACCAAAACTTGAACTTGTAAAATTTGCTGAAGAACTCAATGCATTTGACTCGAAAACAAGCCCAGTACTTTCAGTCTTGATCTGCAGACCATGATCATTCAAACTTGTTACAGCATCTGCACTCAAAGTTCTATTCAATCCACTCAGAGTAGATTTGGACATATCAAAATCTGGATTCGACATATTAAAAATTGAACTTGATACATTAGCAGAAGAACTAAAATTATTCGAATCCAACACAAAACCCATACTTTGTGCCCTGATCTGTTGATCTTCACCAATCAAGCTCGCCAGGTAGTTCAAGCTCTGCACTCTACTAACACAGGGAGAACCCAAATTCGGATCGAACCCCAATCCATTCGACTGTAATGCAGACATTTTGGAATTCGAATTAGCACTATCCAGGCCTACCAAATTATCGGAATTTGAAAGTGACCCATTTTCAGATTTCAACTTATGATTGTATAAGTTAGAAATAGTTGAATCAAATCCATAACCCAAATTAGCATTAGATCCGTTTCTTACTTCAGTATTCGTATCCTCTTTAGCAGGCTTTTCTTTCTCTTCCTCCTCAGCATTTTCTTCCTCACCGAATAATGATAGTGGAAGAGCTCCAGAAGGTTTCACCCACCCAGTTGTCTTCTTGGCTTGTTCAGATTTGGACGGAGATTCAGAAACGGAAGCACTATTAGGGGAGAAACCAAAAGGGTCAAAGGGTTTGGATTGGGAGAGGGAGGATGCAGTGGAAGGCTCAGATCCACTAGGGTATTCGACGAAATCACCCCATTCATCATCTTCAGGGGGGGTGATTGATTTGGGTGGGGTGAATTGGGTATTCAGGGAATTGGTGGAAAAAGATGCAAAGGTGAAATCGCCAAAGCTATCATCGTCATCTTCCGCCATAGTTGACAGACTCCAAAAAGCGGCGGTGCTGCGCGGCGATTTTGTGTCACTTTATTCCCGCGGCGATTTTGTGTCACTTTATTCCCGCGGCGATCCCGTCGTGTTCCATTTTGCGGTCTCAACCGCCCAAACTCCGACTAGTTTTACTTACTCGACTTTTAATAGAAAATTACCTATCAACACCGAAACTATTTGGCAATAACTAATAAAACTATATTTCATGAATAAAATGTGACCAATTAACCGATCAAAAAAATCACTTGTTAAACAATATCCTAACTTATTTTTTAAATATTTATAAATATAAAATTATGAAAGATTTTTAAAAAAAGATAGACATATTTATATTTTGTAAAATTAAACAAACATAATATCGCTTAAAAATAGAAGGTATGGAGTTATAAAATCACTTATTATATTTTTTGCAATTTTTTGATGATATGTTACTTATTTATGTTCAGTTTAAATATTTCGTTGATTAAAAAAATGTTTATCTCGTTGAAAAGAATTAATCTCTCATTTTTATAAATCATTGGAAAAATAGTTGTGAGTTGCATAAAGTAGCTTTCAATGCAAAAGTTTATCAATATCAATTTATTTGTCTATTTTCATTTTAGTTTTAAGCCAAAAGTCCAATACACAGGATAAATTAATTAATTACCACTATTAAGATTTTCTTGTCATATTCTTACGACTTTTAAGTTGGAAATAGATGATTTAAAAGGCTAATGAACTGTGAATGAACATATATCATCCGAATTTAACAACGATTTAATGTACATATCGAACATCAAATTAAAAAATGTAAATATCAATTATCAAATAAAAAAATATATAAATATCAAACATCAAATTAAAGAAATTATATCGTCCAACTGCATATGCCATTACAACGGCATTGGCGGCTGAAAATTCCAACGTGTTCCCGCCTTTAGTGCGATTTAGACGTAACATTCACCCTTGTACTCCACTATGTGGTCCCTTCTTTTCCTAAATTCAACAAATTTATAGTAGTCATACATACTTGTAACAATCCAAAGGGAAAATACATGAATTTTCCCTTAAACTTGTTTCAAAAAATCAGTTGCACTTTTAAACTATCATAACAATTCATTACACACTTTTACTATATAAAAGTGAATTTAATTACCCTTAAAACTGATACTTGGAATACATACATGTACAGTAGAACAGTGGATACAACATCAATAAATGGAGATAATTAACTAGCTAGGAAGAGACCTAACAACACAAACATCAAATAATAATGAATAGTACTCATACCAAACACACTACTAGTAACTCCACTAGTAAAGCTACCAGCGACAGTATTCGTGGTCAAGACAACAACAGTCCAGTCTTTCTCAGTGCCAATTCCAGCTCCAGTATACTTAGAATTGTTAAGGTACCCCGCATGCCGAGACTGAGTATAGTTCGTTAGCACTAGGGTCGCAACACGATTGTGGACGCAAACCGGGAGGATAACGCCTTCAGCTGTTGTGTTAATGTCAATGTCGCACTTGTCTAAAAGTTTGGGGTACTGAGCAAATTGAGATGCAGGAGCGGGAGTAATGCCGCCACTCGGGCATGGTTGGTTTTCCAACTCATCTGCAATTTCATCGGCTAGACAATCTGCCTTGTCCTGCTTCGTTAGGGCTGGTAAGTTGTGGGATTGCCGGTAACTGTTGATACCGGAAAGGACGTCACCTTCTTCATCTGCCATAATATATATATATCATGTCAATATTTTAATGGAATCTTCACACAAATAATCAGTCAGATTTACTATTTATTTTTTACCTTTTTCCTTTTTTCCAGCTGTTATACATTGATTTTTGATGATCATATATATATATTATATATTATATATTATACTGAGAACATCGCCAAGGACGAATTAAAAGACTAAAAGATCTCTTGATAATATGCGCGTTACGCATTACTTAGACTAAACATCTCATAATATATGGAGTAATTAAATCAATTTCTGCATTGTGCCATTGCGGCAACACTAAACAGGCACTAACTAAAATCATGGCAAAATTCAAAATTTGTTTATATTATACCCGGTTCCGTATCCAAGTTCTTAGAAAAAGATCTACAAAAAGCAGCTTATTGGTTTTCGTAAATTTTATACTGGTATATATTGCTCTGTAGTACTAGTATATACAATATATTGTAAACCACTATCATATCGGCTTGAGGTAATTTTTAAGTAAATATTCATAATAAGTGAAACTTATACTCCAACGTAATAAGTAAAACAAGTAGGGTTAACTATATATGCTGAAAGTTTATAACACTGTTGGTGAAAACAAATTCGAATCTAACGCTTGTTTGGAAGTTTACTTACTGTACTAGGTGCACTATGTTCTATGTTTATTTTGGTTGTTACTTAAATTTAGATTCAATTTTATTTATATTGTATCGTTACATCTATTATTGTGTAACAGAAAAAAAAATTCCCCATTTTATCCAACAATCGTTTTGGTAATGATCAAATCCTTACCCTTTTTTATCCTCAGTTTTTCTTTGCTCAATATCTGATAATTGTATTTTGTCCTCTCTACCTTATATATACTATTTGTCCTTTTATAATAGTTCTACCTGTAGATATATACCCCTACATTTCTTATAATCTCATCCTACAATAAAATACAACACATAATGCAGCTTATTGGTTTTGTCTGATTATGATTTGAGATGAAGTATGTGATCTTGAGCTCTCAAACAAAAATATATTAGATGTACCGAAATACTTTAATCTAAAAATTAAAATTAAAGAGTTATGAAAAAAGACATTTATTTCTAAATTACTGACTAAACTAAAAAAGAATAGGACAAATAAATCAAAATAACAAGCATGGAAAGAAGCTGCAAACATAGAATGAATTAATGAAGAAAGGATTTAAGAAAAAAAAGTAAAAGAGAGAGTGCATGAACCATCGCAGTTCACCGTAGCCAAGATAAGGAGCGGTGCAAGCAGAAATAAAAAAGTAGCAGCAGAAACTCGAAGTGACGCCATTTTACGCTTCTGATCAGTAAACCACTTTATCGAATTTGTTTCCAGTGGAATATGAGACTTTCTTGCTGTAGAGTAGTAGATTATGGAGAGTTATCCGGATATAAACTTAGTTTTCTCAAACTCCCAAGAGAAATTGAGCGCCGCGCCGTATGGAAATTTGCATGAAAATAACACGTTGCGGACATGCAAAGCATGTGACGCATAAAGTTAACCTCTTACACCAATCTAAATATACCTCTTATTGGCACCTGTAAAGTACTCCAACGTTATTTTTATACATATCAAAAATCCACTTAATTGCTACATTGTTAAAGATGATCAGCTGAAGCTGGTCCGCCGAACACACCTTAATTATGACGTGCGTTTCTACAGACGTGTCCACAGCATGCGGCTTAACAAGACACGTACTAGCTGCTACTCTTCCACCGTTTCCCTCTTCCTCCTCCGTGTACATACATATAAGACAGCTCCTTAATTTGCCAAGTATATCCATTCATCACTCACCACTACTTTTCTTCGTATATATATAAGGGTAATGTGCTCTCGTTTTCTGCCTTGTTCAGCTAGAACTTTGTCTTCCACTTTCACTACTCACCTAATTTCTCCCTCCTGCTTCTTTACTAACAACAACACTAAGAGAAGAAGATCATATCCTCCGGTTAATATTATCGTGAGATCAATGGCTTCAGGTGGACAAACATTCCCACCCCAGAAACAAGAAACTCAGCCTGGCAAGGAACATGCCATGGACCCTACTCCTCACTATTCTAGCCAGGATTACAAGCCTGCTAATAAGCTTCGAGTATTTAATCCTCTTTTCTTAATTCCCTTCAGTATTTTCTTCGTTTCTTACCTGCTACCGCAAACTTTTACAAATTGCATTTAGTTCTTAGGCCCAAGTACGAAGGGAAGTCTGAAGTGTACTGTGCATGCTTGGAGAATACGCCTTTGTGTAGTATTATTCTGTTCCAGTTTATCTAGCCTCTTTAACTTTGATCTTCACATAAGGTTTAAGAAAAAATCAATTTTATTTTTTATTTTTTAATTATGAGAAGATAGATATTCTTTTTCTTTTTTTTGGATAGATGAGACTAAAAAGAAAAGACAAAAGAAAAGTGAAGTGGAAGAGAGGGAGTAGTTTAATAAGCTCTTTATTTTGATAATGTGAAGGGCAAAATAGCGCTGGTGACCGGAGGCGATTCCGGGATTGGACGAGCAGTGTGCCATTGCTTTGCACTGGAGGGTGCAACTGTGGCCTTCACTTACGTCAAGTCTCAAGAAGAAAAAGATGCGCAAGACACACTTAAATTGCTAATGCAAGCCAAGGCAGCAGATGCAAAGGACCCAATGGCGGTGCCAACGGACTTGGGATTCGATGACAATTGCAAGAGAGTGGTTGATGAGGTTGTGAATTCCTATGGCCGTATTGATATTCTGGTGAACAATGCTGCAGAGCAGTACGAAGCTAGTTCGGTTGAGGAGATAAATGAGGAAAGGCTTGAGAGAGTTTTTAGAACTAACATCTTCTCTTACTTCTTTGTCACTAGGTTGGTCCTATTTTAAGAAGATTTACACAATTATAGTGTAAGGTAAGTTTTACAGTACTTCTGTACAATTCAAATGAATGTTTTTGCTGCAGGCATGCTTTGAAACATATGAAGGAAGGTAGCAGCATAATAAACACAACATCAGTGAATGCATACAAGGGGAATGCAAAACTTCTTGATTACACAGCCACAAAGGGTGCAATTGTTTCGTTTACTAGAGGACTTGCCCTTCAGCTTGTGGAGAGGGGCATACGCGTTAATGGTGTTGCCCCTGGCCCAGTTTGGACACCACTGATTCCAGCTTCGTTTTCTGAAGAGGAATGTGCAAATTTTGGTAAACAAGTGCCAATGAAGAGGGCTGCTCAGCCTATAGAGGTGGCCCCGTCGTATGTTTTCCTGGCTTCTTGCCCGGAATCCTCCTATATAACTGGCCAAGTTATCCACCCTAATGGTATGCTGAGCCTTTACATAGCCAAGTTGCTAAAATTAAAACTAATATGTTATCCTTAGATTGAGCATATGATCTGAATGTTGTATATTGCTGGTTTGCAGGTGGGACGATAGTCAATGCTTAAAAGTCTCTTTGGGAGCTTTTGTCAGCTTACGTGGAAAGCTTTTATCTGTTTTGTGTTAGTTTTAATGTACTATCTGTGTTTTGTACTATGGTCTCCACAGTGAAGTGGTATTAATAGAATAATACTCCACTCAGTATGTTTATAAGTTGCAATGAAAAATACAATTTTGTCTCTTTATTTGTGTCTGCGCTTTGGTGTCCCTTAAAACAAGGTTTATCTGCTCTTACATATTGTCTGGAAGAAGCCGATAGCAACTGGATAACGAAATTAAACAAATTGGAGGACAAGTAAATAGGAGGAACCAAGAAGAGTAACTTTGGAAGTAAAATTAATTAACGTGCGCTTCCAATTATCAAAACGGGGAATTTTCCAATTGCCATTTATATTTTTGTCGAGAAGAAATAAAAAGAAAACTAAATGAAATTTGTCTCTATAATTATTGCAAGTTCTTAATCAAAGACCTGAACTATAAAACAAGTTGATGGCGGGGATCTGAGTTTCTTTAGATTGCGAAGCGCACCTCCATGTCCACATTCAAGAGTGCAGAGATAGATCTCATGACAAATTGCCTCCGTTGGCTCCTATATCAGGAATGCCGCTATATGAAAATTCTACGCCATTTCCACCAATTCCAGCAAGCAGGCATTGGAATCCGCATGTTTCTAAATCAGCTATCACTTTATCAACGACTGTTCCTGATAGAACTGGAAATTGTTGTCAAGGAAAGTTTAAAGAAGGCTAGGCTGAAATGTGGGAACTCGGCAGCAGACATGATTAATGCTATTAATGGAGAAGATTAGTGTCTAGTGGTTGGTTTTTCAGACATGTCAAAGATCAAGTATATCAACCAAGAAGAGATGGATATAACACTGTAAAACAGCGGTAGAATTATGTAATTTCAGAAAAGATGGATATAACCCTGTAAAATAGATGTAGTTTCAATCAATTAACAAAAGCATCAAGTAGACCAGGCAAGAAGAGATGGATATAACACCTATAAAATAGGCTGTTGAATTGTGTAATTTCAGTAAAGTTGGATATAACCATGTAAAAATAGCGGCAGAGTCATATAATTTCAATCAATTAAAACGAATGCTTTCATGCGCATATGCTCTTTGTTCTAAGAAAAACTTGACAAAATGCATGCTTTCATGTGCATATGTTTTTTGTTCCCAGAAAAAGGAAATGAGAAACTTGACAAACAGTGGGACACACAGGGATGTGAAACGGTGAGCAGAAGAAAGCAAATATTACATATTCCAGACTCACTTAGTTAAGGCAAGAATTGCAGTTCATACTTCTAAATAAGATGTAGATTCCACAAGCAAAAAACAAATGTCACTATGCAGAAAATGTTAGTGATAAAGAATGTTGTCCATCTCTGTATATAGAACTGTGACCTAGTGAATAACTTTTTTACCTTTTTAGAGTAATGTTCAAGAACCTAAGCTTAATGTGCATGGGGATGGACAATGCATCCCAGGTAAAGCAGATTAGAGTTTAGAAGTATAATATCCTGGAGAAACAGAGCAACTCCAAAAATGTCAATAGTGAGTAGAGATATCATATAAATAGCACATTGTGATTAGAAAGCATTTATCAGAAGGAAAATAGATTAAAGGATACGGGTTGGTAGTAATGTCAAAACACAGCCTCCACCACCAGCTCCAGTTAACTTGGTAGACAGTTTGTACTTTAGAGTTGTTCGAAGAATAGTTTCTATGGAAGCATGGCTAACACCCATGCACTGAAGCAATCCTTGGTTCATCTCCATCAACTCTGCCAGTTTTTCTTCTTTCTCAGTTATGGCAAGATCATCAGAGACAGGTGATTGAATAATTGCAGCCACTTCATTACTGATAGAATCCACTGCAGTAAACACAGAAGCCATTGCAGTCGGATGCCTCAAGGTCCTCTCGGAGACGCTAGCCACCAATGCCTTTGTATTTCTCCCAACCTTTGTGTTAGTGATCAGCATTTTAAGTGGCATGTTTGTTTTGAGGCGTGTCAAATCGCCTGACTTAAACTTGATCATGTTTCCTGTATGTAAAGTTATAGGTTGCGGAGTCATTAAAATCCTGACATATCCTTCGATTGACTATCTGAAAATTAGAAGTATCCTATGTTTCTTAACCATAGAAGAAAAATCTACCATGGAAAATATTTCAGGCAAATCATGTACAAGATACCTTGATGATAGTAGGAGGAACAGAAGGGCAAGTGACTATACAAACCCCGTGTCCCAAAAAAAATGCCACATAAAAGGAGAAGAGTGTCAAAACGCTGCCAATGCACATGAGAGAAATTAACATTGTAATTCAGGAGCTCCCCCAAGCATAAATCTTTGCCAAGCAAACATCAATTTTAAAATAGCTCATCTGTTCTAATTAGATAACCATCTGTAACAGTTCATTACCTTCATGAATAGCAAATTCAGATTCTCTAATGGATCTAAGACCTCATTGTATGTTTTGTGAGACCAAATATAAACAGGACAAATATGTGAAGTTTAATCGGTAGAACTGCAAAAGAAGAAGAGAGAACAATTCTCTTCTCCCTGCAAACAAAAAGTTATGATTATTGAGCAACATAGAACATGCAAAGTGAAAAGAAATAATTTGCATTTCCCTTTGTGAGTAAGTAATGACATGTTTAGATTGTGACTGGTAGAATCTTTTCTATGCTGACTGTGCCCATTTACCCTAAAATGATGTTTTTCTGTCTCCAGCGCTTTACATCATGTCTAAAGAGCCGTAGACTCAAAAAGTGAAAAACCAACATAATTTAACTTGTAAAGGTTTCTTTTAGATATTGGGCCATCCGCCATGCAATATGAGTTTGATTATCTGTCAACAGTTATTAGACCTATTTCCAGTGAACATTAGTCTTTGTTTCAAGTTACTTCCTCTAAAACTTTACTTTTGGGGTGTGGACATGAAGAGGTTAACTTGTTTGCCTAAAATTACCACAGAAGTAAAAGATCTGTAGATATTAGAAGGAGCTTATGTTTACATTGTTTCCAGTTCTTGTTTGATTCTGGTTTGACTGGCAATATAACAGATATAGCTCTCAAATAAACAACAAGATGTCTTTTATCATTCGATAAATATTTGAGATACCTAGGGAGATTTAAAGAGTTGTATAGAAGATAAAATAAGTGTTGCTAATATGTTACAATCCATAATTGAATCTCAATAGTTCTTCATAGAGCACTGAGGATACCTCTTATTCATGTCATTGTTCCAAAAGCATAATTACCAAAAAAAAACTGCAACTGTTTGAAGTGGGTGTTCTAGATGAATTTAACAAGCAGATTTTTTTACACAAAAGTAGGAGAACACAGCATACCAACGGCTGGTCAGAGATAGGAATATTTTTAACTAGCCTAATGAATTCCTCTTGTGAAATTCTTTTATAACACAATTCCCCTTAGATTAAGCTGTTATTCTAGAGTCGTTTTAAGGCAGCTAGACATATATAAACAAAAATGTCTTTTCGTGACTATGGTGTTACTTATTAGAATCTCAAGTATAATGTTTAATTATGGGAGGCTTTCAAGTTAATTACATGTTTTTTCTTGCACGCATAAGTTCTTTAAGATATCTTCTTTTATCTTAATAGATGATTATTAATTCCCACAGTCCTACTAATTTCTTACTTCTCAGTCACAAATTAGCATATTTTCTTTTTACCCGCTTAAGCCAAAACTATATGCTTTAATGCCCCTTGTCAGCTTGACTGCGATGTTTTCTCTTTGTTCTGTGATCCGTTAACATATCATAAAAGGAAAGTAGATATAGTAACAATGGCTATTGTCACATACCGTATGTGCTCACTGTGTTGTCAATACCAGATGGCTTCCCATGAATTATTTTCTCGCCTTCGAAAGCCCATTTATTCACCAATTCCAGCTCATTCTCTCCAAATACTTGCCACCCTTGGTGGCTGAAATCCATAGTGACTGAATCTGACAAAGCAAGAATGGCTGCGGAGAGTGCAACACAAAAAGCTGCGGACGAACCCAAGCCTGATCCCAATGGAAGCTCAGAATTGACAACTGCTTTAGCTGGTTTGCATCTAATAAGGCAATCAAAGAGAAAGTCAATGTGATATTATGGAATCTGTTTTATGAATGTCAAGTGGTCAAGTAAAGGAATGAAAGTTAATACCCATGGATTGAGGTGAACAGCCAAAGAAAAGCTGTGACACCAGCAGCGAGACCTATATTTGCCTCAGGAATGTTCTGCTCATCGACTAAAGAAGCAATTAATTTAAGAGTCTCCAGCGAGCACGATGAAGGTGGAATCGGATTTTCCAAGTTTGGAAAAGCCTCTTTAATTCTTGCAATTGGCCAGGAAAATTCTAAGGACACATCCTTAAGCTGGAGGCTTAGTGTTTCGTCATTATCTATTACCCGAAGAAATTCAGAAGAAAAGAAACATAATTTGAGAAAAACAAAATGAAGAAACCAGTAAACATATTAGGGTTAAAATGAAAAAGGAAACAACAGTTTGGGTAAACGTGATTTTACCCAAACTCAACCATCAGAATAACATTCTCTACACTTCATCATATAATTATACATTTTTTGAGAAAACTCAACGTCTCTTAGGTGCCTTTGCTATGGAGAAAAATCGTCTTTGATGGATCACTTTCAGTGTTAGATCAGTTAGGAAGGTTGGCAACAAAGACAAACATACATGATGAAGAATAAAGTGCAAAGACTATATTTTAACATACTTCTCCCCCTGATAAATGAGAACAGAGTTGAAAAGGAAAATCATTTGTCAACTAGAAACCAGACAGGAATTCTCCTAAAGTTAAAAAAAAATCCCACAATCGAGCTCAATAAAAGCCTCAAACACTCGATATATATGTGAATTAAGAACTCAACAACCTCAATTGGATTCAGAAATCACATTTACAACTAATTTGGAGTAGAATGTATACCAGCAGGAGTAGGAAAGCGAAGGGAGACGTAAGTATAGAGATCGATAGAG